ACTTTTTATATCACAGAAGTTATCCAATTATTTTCGTCGATCATCAGGTGAAGCGATACTTTTTTCAAGGGACTGTAAAATAAAACCTCTAGTTTCAGATTAACTAAGATCTTTTTCACAGTAAGTTCTGGATCTCAAATATGTTAGTTTAAAAAGGAGTGATTTAAAAAGAGTGATTTCGTTAACCAACTTTACAAAATTTCTTATTAATAGTAACCATAAGAATATAGAACAAACCTCTAATTTCAGACTATCAATTAATATGCTCTAAATTTGACTTTATTTAAACTTACAAATATTTAAATGTAAGAATTACTTAAAATAATTTTATATATATATATATATATATACATACATACATATTAAATTTATATATTTATTGTTTTATGAATTATTAGGGATATTCTGATTTTTATGTATGTATATATTCAATGGGTAAAGTGAATAATTTAGTTATAATCATATAACATACATAATATTGATTGATTATTTTTATTATCAATTATTTTTATTAAATGAGATATTAATGATATTAATGAATGATAAGTAAAGGAAAAATTTGTATATAATGTTAAAATCATCTATCTGGTTAATATACTGTATGTTAAATCACAAACAATGACATTCTCATATTGCTTAATCCTGTAATTTGGAAGTTATATGACCAGTTAATAAAGCTCCCGCTATGCCTTTATTTTTTATTCAACGAAAAGATCTGCACAGAATTTAGCCAATCAGAATTCTTTTCATGATATCCCTGGCTGGATTTAGCCAATCAAAATTTCTTCTAGAATTTTTCATATCGTCGATCATTAACAGTATTAGTATTTCCATATTGAGTAAAATACTTGACTGTAATTTGATAATTTAAATATTACACAGTGAATCTCAATTAATGTGCCTCAATTAAATGAATACTAATGGATTGAGGTCTAAGAATGGTTTAATGATAATAAAATTCTTCTTGATATGATATTTATTCAAGTTTTTCATTTTTCCATGATAATAATAATGGATTTCTTGATATTAATATTAATGGTCATGTGACAAGTTTTGAATATAACAATAATGGACTTTTGGAAAAAAATTTCTAAACACAAACTATCTGCTAACTAAGATTGTGTATATTTTAAATTTTTTAATTGATAAAGAATATTATTTAGTGATAGTAGCTGAAACTGTTTTGAAAAAAAGATAGTTTCGTCCAATAAGTATCTAAATCAATCTACTTTATTTTAAAAACTCCCAATTTCAGCCATTAAAATTAGTTTCGTCAAAGTTTAGGCCAATTAATTTCGGCAATTAAGCATAGTTTCGACCACCATCACTAGTTTGAATCGAGTTGAGTTGAATCAGTTTGAATCAAATTATACATTCGAGTCAGTTCAAATTGAATCAGTTTGAAATTATATATATTTAATATTTGAATCAATTCGAATTTGGTTCAATTTGATTAGAACTGATTCAAATCAAAAATTAGGTGATTCGATTCGAATCAGTTCGAATTTCATTGATTTGTTCGGAGCCTTACTCTTTTATATCAATTATTGAATATATATTTCTGATATTTATTCACAGATCCACTCAAATTTAATTCTTTCTGCTTACTTTGCTTGTCATCACAAGACCAATTTCAATTTTAAAATAAATGAAAACCTACAAAGTGAACATGAAATTATAAAATTATATATATAGGGATAGGTGTATATGAAAAGTAATAATAAATATAATGGTTCTAATGAATATCAAAAAGCAATTGATTTTTTAGAAAAAGGTTGTGGTTGTGGTTGTAGTTGTTCTTCAAGAATTCCTATGGAAGAATTTGCAGAATTAAGGGAGTCCTTTCAAGCTCTTTCTAAAATAGAACAAGACATATTTTTAATGGCACAGATTAAAGCAATGGATGGTGGATCAATAAGCACCAGTAGACGCCTTAAAAAGAAAACTAGATCTAATAAAAGAACTTTTTATCACTGGGATCACAATATACCTCTTTGTCAAGAAACTTATTTCAATATGTTGGGAATTGGTAGAACTTATTTTGAAAACATCAGAAATCATCTGATAAAACATGGTCTTTTAACAAGAGTTCATGGTAATATTAAAAGGATGACTAAATGGAAAACAAAGATGGTGATTGACAAAAGTGTTGCTGAAGTGGTAAAAAATTTTCTAGAAAATTATGCTGAAGTCCATGGATTACCAAGTCCAGGAAGGAGTGTCAATAGGATAACTCAGTCAGTTATCTTTTTACCAGCTGAAATGAGTTATAAATCAGTGTATAGAGGTTTTCTGGCTGGTCTGGAAGAAGATAGTAATTTGAAATCCTTAAAATATGATGCATTTAGAAAACTATGACATCAATTAACACCAGAGATTCAAATTATGAGTCCAAGGACTGACTTGTGTGATACTTGTCAACATTTTCGAAATGGTTTACATTACAATGCTCGCCAAGAGGAAGAAGCTAAAGAATTACTCAAAAAATTTAAAGAACATTTGTCCAAGGCAAGATTAGAAAGAAATTATTATAATAAAAACACCAAATTAGCAGAAGAACAAAGAAAATTAGTTGATCAACATTATTCAAAGGGTGAAACATCATATTGCAGCATTGATGCCACTGCTCATTATAGTTATGATTGAGCCCAAAATGTTCATGTACCACATTTAGATCAACAAGTAAGTAAAATTTATTATCTTAGTCCATGTAAAGTTCATTTATTTGGTATTCAAGATGA